CTAGTGCCCTATGAGGAGGTTACGTTGCCTGGGGATCAACATATGACCGAGACTCTAGAAGAAGGTATGACAAATAGCGGCATCCCAACTAAGGTATTACCTACCGCACAGACTGCGGTGTCTACTTCTGTGTTGAGATTTGAGCCCATGGTTTCTGATCCATTTACCTTCATGCCCCTTAAAAAAAGGAAGGTATGGAGAAAAAAAAAGTGTCTTAACAATGTTGCGGAACACGCAGAGGAGACCAGCCTTGAGTGGTCTCCCCAATCTCAATGTTAGTTCTCAGCTGGACTATTCGTGGGCTTGGCAACCCATGTACGTTTCATTGACATGTCACAATAACAGCACAAAAAGACCTATTTTCTCACATAGTCAATGATGTGTACAAAGTGCATTTGCCATCATAAAACTAAGTAAGAATATTCTAATAAGCCCACAAAATGTATCAGGCACTACAAGTATGCCAAACTTGGAAAAATGAGCAACCTCTGTAATTTTCTTGATCAGGTAGGCCTTCTTAATACCAAGTTGATGAAAATCAATAACTGGGATGCAGATGCAAGTTGTACACGCTTTGTTTTGTTGGAGGTATTTGGATATTTGAATGGTTATTTCCCCATAACTACTTTTAAGATTAAAAAAATTCTAACCTTCAAGTTGTACAACTTTACCAATGCAAGAAACAACAATAAAGAGACGGCATTTGGTTATAATGTTGGATCAAAAATTATTCTAACCATAATTACTTATAATGTTGGATAAAAAATTATTTAAGTAGCAAATTAACCTTTTCAAATGCTACATAAGTAAAAAAAAACGTTAATTTGTTAGTACTATTGGACATGCTCTTACAAATACATAGAAGTCAATTAGAAAAGTAAATAAATACAATCCCCATCTAATAAGAAAATTATAAAATTATCTCCTAATGCGGACTGGGACAAAAATAACGAAGTGCAAGCTGTTCGAGAAGCATAGTTCCCAATGCAGACTGGGACAAAAATAACAAAGACCATTATTCTGCTTGTTACAACTTCTACAGCTAGTAAGACAAATCATGCGTAAGTTTTTTTGTTTTGTTTTCGGTCGAAATGAGTTGATTAAAATCAATGCATATGTACCTCTGCCCAGGACTACGAGTCCGCTTTATACACATGCGACACACACTTTGATAAGATTCCAAAGGAGGAGTAAGTTTTTTTTTTTTTCAAAGTAAAAAAGGAGGAGTAAGTAAATAATATGAACAAGGTCTCTCACTAGAAGAGTTTTCGTGAGCGACAAACTTAGGCGCTAGAGTTTAGGGTTTACCACAACCTATTAACAACTCAAGCAGGATTTCTCCCACGACGATTGCTACTGGGAGGGGACTTTATGAAGCAATAGGATGACAGTTCTTGCAACAAAGAGAACATGGAACTAGAGGAACTTGGGAAATGCTTTGGGTCAAAGCTGAAGCTCTCAGAGCGAGAACTTGAAGGGGTTAAACTAGAGGCAAAGAGCTCTCTAACGCTTTGGTATGATTTCATTACAGCCTGGCGTTGGAGGTGCTTTCACACCGATTGGTTCATCAAATTCATTTATTGATATGTTTACTGGGTTATGGAGAGGCCATGAAGTCAAACAATATGGGTAGAATATTTTTCAGATTATATTTCATTCTCCAAAAGAAAGTATTTATAATACAAGGATGTAACCCTAGTAGGGTTAAACTAGAAAACAAGATAAAAACTTAATTACACAATATATGTACAAAAAGAAAAGAAATATAATCATAATAAACTAGGAAATAAATATCATAATTCAGCTAGGATCTCGCTAACACTCCCCCTCAAGTTGGAGCAAAGATGTCACGTATGCTCAATTTGTCAAGCGAGTTGAGAAAGACCGTAATAGACACAGCTTTCGTAAGAACATCTGCTAGTTGATGCTTGGATGATATAAACGGAAAAGAAATAATTTCAGCATCCAACTTCTCTTTAACAAAATGTCGATCAACCTCCACGTGCTTTGTACGATCATGTTGCATAGTGTTCGCCTAAATCTAAACAGATAAGAGTTTAGGCTAACTTACAAGTATGCTGATGATTGAGGATCGGAGTGACCTTCTTCCGTGATGTCCGAAGGTTCGAGCGGGGCTGGATCCGAATTTATGAGGGGATACCAGTATGGTACCTGCCGAAGGTACTCTGATGCCAAAGTTAGTGATTAAGAGCGATTCTATTGATAGTGAAAGCACTAATCAAGTCAGAAAATCTTACCACTTGGCTGGGCCAAGGGGCTCTATTTATAGAGAGCATTTGGGATGCTCTTAGCACTTAGTTTCGATGTGGGACTCGTGGGAGTGTCTTTGGAGGTCAACACGTGATTCTGATAGGCTCTGGCAGGAATTCTGAGGCAATCTGTCAGAATCGGATTGACGTGACGATTGGTCTCTTGGTAGACAATACCGAAGGTTGGAGGAGGTAGTGATGCTTCGTTATCGACCCCCTGAATCGGTACTGAGTACCGAGAGAACATTTGGTATGGCCCAGTTGAGCTGGTCTCTGGCTTGAGGGCGTTCCAGTGTCACGACGTGAGTGGGTGGTCAGATATGGTACAAACAGTAGTCCCCCAAGTTTCCGATCGAGGAGGGACTTCTTGGTTGGGGACTTGCTTGTGTCCCTAAGCTCCGGCATTCTGACCCGAGAACGAGCATCTGTCATTTGTAAGCCGGTGGTGATCATGTAGTCCCCCAAGTCCTCAAGCCAAGGGGTTGGTTTGAAGATTGGAAGGGAGAGGCAGGCAAAGTCGAAAGTGGGTGAACAGCGCATAAAGGATGAGGTAGGGGGCCTACCGTTTGGTACGAGAGATGAGTGTAAACAAGACCCATGCGTGCCTGCCATTCGGCACGAGGGGTGATTCAAAATTTACCCGCGTGTGCCTTCCGTTCGGCACGAGGGTGAGTGAAAACAAGACCCTTGTATGCCTGCCGTTCGGCACAAGAGGTGATTGAAAATCGAACAGTGCGTGCCTGCCGTTCGGCACGAGAGGTGATTGAAAATCGACCAGTGCCTGCCTGCCTTTTGGCACGAGGGGTGATTGAAAATCTATCCGTGCGTGCCTGCCGTTCGGCACGAGGGTGAGTGAAAACAAGACCCTTACGTGCCTGCTGTTCGGCATGAGGGTGAGTGAAAACAAGACCTTTGCGTGCCTGCCGTTCGGCACGAAGGTGAGCGAAAATAAGACCCTTGCATGCCTGCCATTCGGCACGAGCGGTGATTGAAAATCTACCAGTGCGTGCTTGCCGTTCGGCACGAGGGTGAGTGAAAACGAGACCCTTATGTGCCTGCCGTCCGGCGCGAGGGTGAGTGAAAACAAGACCCTTGCGTGCCTGCCATTCGGCACGAGAAGTGATTGAAAATCTACCAGTACGTGCCTGCCGTTCGGCATGAGGGGTGATTGAAAATCTACCCTTGCGTGCCTGCCGTTCGGCACGAGGGTGAGTGAAAACAAGACCCTTGCGTGCCTGCCTGTTCTCCAAGAAAGTTGCTGTCTCAAAAAGGAGAGGAATGGAGAAGTCGAAACGTCGAAGTATAGGCGCTTGGGCTACCCTGTGCATGGGTGACACGTGTCGACAAGGTGGCGAAGAGTTGCTACGTTTCAGTTCTCGATGAGAGGCTCGTCCTATAAAAAGGAGGAAGAGACGGTAGGGGGAGGTACTTGAGTTTTTTTTAGAGGAAACGGAGCTTGTGAGAGGCGATTTCCGGCAAGTGTTCCATCAGGATCCTAGTTGGATGGACCCGATCCACGCCCACCTCACCGACGACACCCTACCAACTAACAAAACTGAGGCAAAGGCAGTACGACGACGATCGGCTCGGTACCTTCTTTTGCAAGGAGTCCTCTATCGGTGCAGCTACTCCCTACCGTTGCTGAGATGTGTTACACCATAACAGGGAGACTACATCTTGCGTGAGATACACGAAGGTGCGTGTGGTGATGACTCGGGATCCCGATCCTTGGCCTTCAAGGCCGTTCGACAAGGCTATTATTGGCCAACTCTCCACGCTGACACCACCCAAATTGTGCAAAATTGCGATCCGTGCCAACGTTTCGGATCTGTATCGAAAATTCCTGCCGAACCGCTCAGTTCGATGGCTAGCCCAAGAAACTCAGAAGCCAGATACTTCTAAAGATCTTGCATTTCTGCCTGATCATCTTCAGTCACAATTATATCATCAACATAAATAATTAAATCTATCAATTTACCTTTATGACGCTTTAGAAACAAAGTATAGTCTGAGTTACTCTGCACATACCAAAATTTCTTCATAGATGCCGCAAATCTCCCAAACCACGCTCTTGAAGACTGCTTCAATCCATATAAAGACTTCCGCAGCTTACACACAACACATTCCTTAGAGGTTACAGGAATACCATGAGGGAGATCCATGTAAATCTCCTCTTTGAGGTCACCATGTAGAAACGCATTTTTGACATCGAATTGTAATAAGGGTCAATCGCGGTTAGCAGCCAGGACATGCATAGTATTGAGCTTTGCCACAGGAGCAAAGGTCTCCAAATAATTCACTCCATAGGTCTGAGTATAACCCTTTGCTACCAATCTAGCCTTGTAACAGTCAATGGAACCATCAGCTTTATGCTTCAAAGTAAACACCCATATGCATCCAACAGCTTTCTTCCCTCATGGCAAAGGAACTAAATCCCATGTTTTATTCTTGTTCAAGGCATCAATTTCAACATTCATGGCATCCATCCATTTGGGGTTAGATAAAGCATCATACAGCTTAGTTGGCACATATACACTAGATAATTGACACAAATATGATGCATATGACTTAGACAAGCGATTAGTTGACACATAATGGCTAATGGGATATTTAGACTTGGCATATATATCAGGAGAATATTGTACTTTAGGTTTCCTACGAGTGGTTTGTGGGGGTAACTGATAAGTTGACATAGATAGATCATTAGAAATTACCTCACTTGATTCACTATCACGAGTAGATTGGGGCACTAGCAGGGCAGAGGGGGAATATTGCATCGAACTCATCCATACAAGAATCACTGTCATTATTTTCATATATGGGCAACCGGTCACTTGCTTCAGTGTGACCAGTTGTTTCGACACCGAAAGCACCTACTTCATTTCCAGATATGGGCAACCGGTCACTTGCTTCAGTGCGACAGGTCGTTTCCTTCCTGAGAGCAGTATCTTCAATCACATCATTCTCTAATCCAAGACTCTCCAATTCACTCCCCTTCTCCCCCTGAATTGGAGAGGAAGGAGAGACATGATATGGCAATTCTTCATGGAAAGTCACGTCCAAAGTAACATGCACCTTTTGGGTAGGTGGATGATAGCATTTATAACATTTATGAGTAAAAGAGTAACCAATAAAGACACATCACATAACACAAGGATCAAGTTTACTCCATTGATGAGAGTAGACATGAACATAGGCAACACACCCAAAAACTTTAAGGGGCAACTTGGAGATTGAGACAGGGGAAACATGGTCACCAAACACATCATGTGGAGTCTTGAAATCAGGAATCCGGTTAGGAGTACGATTAATCAAATATGCAGCAGATAAAACAGCATGCCCCCAAAGATGATGGGGAACAGACATATCCAACATAAGGGAGCGGGCAACTTCAAGTAACTGACGATTCTTGCGTTCAGACACACCATTCTGCTGAGGAGTAAATGGGGTTGTCGTTTGGTGAATAATACCTTGAGCAAGGAAGAAAAATGCCAAAGTGTTATTCGCATATTGACCTCCGTTATTAGTCCGGAATACTTTGACCCGAGCATGAAACTAAGTAGACACCATAGTACAGAACTCTGGAAGGATGGAAACAACATCATGTTTATTTTTCAACAAGAAAACCTAAGTGAGTCAGGTACAATCATCAATAAATGTGACGAACCAACGAAACCCGTTCAAAGTAACGCAAGCCAAACCCCACACATCAGAATGCACTAAATCAAAAGGCTTTGCAGCGTTAATGTCACTCAAAGGAAACACAGTGCGATGACTCTTGGCCAAAATACATGTCTCACACTTAAAACTGGACTCATCACAAAAACGAAATAAAGATGGAAACAGACGCTTAAGGTAGCCAAATGACGGGTGTCCCAAGTGACGATGCCATAACCAAATTTGTTGTTTATTTTTGATACTGCAACTTTGAACAGTATTAACGACACGATCACGAACTAGTGCAGAAGGCAATTAATGTCAAATAATATAACCCCCTATCTGTTTACCATGCCTAATCGTCTCATGAGTCTTGAGATCCTAAAAAGAGCAATGTGTAGGATAGAAAGTAGTAGAAGCATTAAGTGTATCAAGTAATCGACCAACAGATAACAAGTTACAATGGATATTGGGAACTAGTAACGAACGAGACAAGGACATAGTATGAGTGAGAGAGATTGTGCCCTCACCAGTAATTGGAGAGGGCAAGCCATTAACACTAGTTATGTATGGGTCACGGGTGTGACTAGACAACTCAACAAAAAATTTAGCATCATAAGTCATATGATCAGAAACACCAGTGTCAATTATCCAAGTATTAGAGCCAATACCTGGAATAGAATAAAAAACACACAAATTTGTAGAGGCAGCAGCAACAGCACCAACAATGGAGTTCTCACCCATGATTGCAGCAGAAACTCAACAGATCACGGCAGAGTATACAACGAAACACAGCAGAGGCACAAATACGGCAAATGCAAGAAGACAGATATGAACACAGCTGAGTACACAGCGGAACACAGCAAAGGCATAAATACGGTAGATGCACGAACACAGGAATGGCACGAACACTACAACACAACACACAAACCCAAGAGGGCACACACGGCACAGGTAGAGAAAAAAAATATGGGGATAGAACACAGGTGGGCACAATACACAGGTCACCAGAAAAGCTGGTTCTGATGCCAAGTCAAACAATAAGGGTAGAATATTTTTCAGGTTATATTTCATTCTCCAAAAGAAAATATTTATAATACAAAGATGTAACCCTAGTAGGGTCAAACTAGGAAACAAGATAAAAACCTAATTACACAATATCTGTACAAAAAGGAAAGAAATATAATCCTAATAAACTAGGAAATAAATATCCTAACTCAGCTAAGATCTCGCTAACACATGAAGGGGTGTCAATCCATGAGATTGGTGAGTTCAAGAGATATGCGACGCGTATTAGACATGAAGCCGTGCTCTTTCCATAATTCATTTGTGATACTGGAGGAGGGAATCTAGGGGAAGCGATTCCAAAACTAGAAACTTACCATAGGAGTTTTCTGGGTTTAGATCCATGGATTACCACCACTAAATTGGTAGCAAAAGAATTCATTCAAAGAGAGGGAATTCACTACAATGAAACGTTTTCTCTAGTCCTTACCAAAGACTCTTTTTTTTGTGCGGAAACACTCCAAGACCTTGTTCTTGATGGACTATGTGACGGCAGACACACAAACCCCTTGAGAATAAAGCACACACATACACACCTCGAAGAGAGTAAGCAAATACATAAGAATACAGAGATTTATAGAAGTTCAGCTCCATGCTTACATCCTCTTTGGTAATCCCCTCAAGAAATTACACTAGAAGAATAGGAACAACTTTGGTTACAACAACCCCCTTAGCTCTCTATCCTCTCAAACCCTAGGTCTTAATTTCTCTCACACCCTTTCTCAAACTCTTTGATGCCCTTATAAACACTCAAGAATTCAACCTCTTGAATTATATCTTGTGTCTCTCTCTTTTAAATTCTTTTGCCTCTCTTTGGGTCTGAAAATTTAACCTAGCTCCAAAGTTCCTATTTATAACTCATAGGACTTGGGTTACAAGTTTACTAGGAATAGGAAACTAAAACCTTATTAAATTAGGCTACAAAACCCCAAAATAATAGGAAACTTCATCAAAATACCCCAAAACATCAAAATCATGCGCAAAATTGTTCACTAACCAACCGGTTGCCAGGAATGGGTGACCCGTCGTCTGGAGACACTTTGTCAACTTGAGCTCTCGACCAAAACCAACTGGTTAATCTAGGAGACTGGTCGCCTGTACATCAGCTTCCTCGTGACTTCTTCTTCTCCTTCCTTGCAACCCCTTAGTTTCCTTATTCCTCCCGCATCTATGGTGAGCCAAAACACAACAATATCCACCTTGGTGACCATCAATCACCCCTAGAATCTTTTCAACCTCTTGGAAACCATTCTAGTAATTCCTAAGAGCTCCACCATGGCAAGAAACCTCTTGCCTCAAAGCACCTCAAGTAGGAAGGTGCTCCACCCAAGCTAAACTTGGACAACCCAGGCCTCTTGTGTAGAAGAGAGATACTGCATGCCGAAATCCTTGCTCCTTACGTTCTTGGAACCTTGAATTCTTGACACGACTTGATACGCAAAATGTATGTGATGAACAATAAAAGTGTCCAAGTACATCATACAAGGGTTTTGAACCGTCTATTTTTCTTGTGTTTCATAGATCCTTCTTACAAAATAGTAGACAATTAAGAAACACTGAAGACATCTAATTGTAATCTGTAAAATAGATGAATACAGTGTCTCAAGAAAACACACTAGAATGATAACTATTTAATTGAGTAGTTAAATGGTTTCAAATTAGAGTGATTTTTTGCAGTGATGATCCTTGACATGCGACCTAAAATAAGACGGTTTAGATTATTCAAATACAAGGTGCGGTGGGCTCTAAAAGGGTGGACCCCAATTGAACCTCTCTCTCTATCTCTCTCTCCCAAAAGGATATCTCGGTTTGAGAAGTTTTAAGGAATACAAATATATAGAGCAATGGTAGCGAGGTCACTTATCTAACAAAGACATTGCCAAGGTAGGGTTGGGGTTTCCTCCCAGCTTTTCAGTTATTGAACATATATTACTAAAATCTCCAAGGAGAATCCAGGGCAAAGAGGCAGCAAGTTTGACAAAAAGAATTTCATTCCATAGCTGCCTTTGTTTAGCTTTTTGAGGATAAGCATGAAAGAAAGTAGCAAACCGGTTGTGATTCAAGCAAGTATTAAAAATTTGACAATGTATGAAACGCTCATGGTAATTCAAAATACTACAATTCATTAGGTTAGAATCCCAAAACAAGGTCTTAATCTTAAATTTAAGGAATGATATGCGCAAGAGCCCATTAATATTAGTTTAGTTGATGGACTAATCTTGGTGGAGTATTGGTACCTTCACTTTGGTTAATACTTGTTACTCAAAGTTGCACTCAATTTCATTTATTGCATGCCTTTTTTTTTTTTTTTTTTAAACAGTGCTATAAGGGCAGTTAGATAGGAGTATAGAACACAAACGCTTCTTACACATTCACTTTGGAAGTGTTTTTTGATGACGCACCTAAAAGTTCTTCCATAGCCCAAAGCATTTTGTGTTTTGCCAAACAATATGAGAAGCACTTTTGGATATTTGAAAGTGCTTTTGCTACTGTCAGAATAATGCCCAAGCAAACCCTAAAACTCTATTAGATTTTAACATTTGCACTGTGATTATTCTTATTGTCATTTTCTTTTTTAATTTTAAATTTCTCTCTATGAAGTTCTTGTTTCTTTTGGCACTACCTGACATTTCTATTGCTTTGCGGAACACCATTGTAGGTGATCACATCATGTAACAACACAAATGATGAATTGGTGCAAGTGAAGTTTCAAAGAAGTGTGACCCAAGAACCTGAAACACCCGAGGATAGGTTCCGTTGAAGGTGGAGCAGAGCCGTGGATTAAAAGCTTTACCTTCCAGGCTCTCGATGTTCAATAAGTTTGTCTCTTTTTTGTATGAGTTTTTTTTTTTTACGAGCAAAGTTTAGGAGGAGATTGGTTACTCTCACCACCTGTGCCATAGCAGACTCTCAACCTCGAGCCAGAAGGACTTATGCGTGGCACCCAACTGTCAGCTGTAACTGGTATGGATTTATGTCGGTAATTACAAATCGCGTACCAACGAGGACTGCTGGCAGCAGGATTCGAACACTGGTAAGGCTACACCAGTGCAGAAATCTTACCAACTGAACCAATCTCGTTGGCCTTTTTGTATGAATATTTGATTACTCATTATTGTAAGACTTTCTTTTGCAATTTATTCTCCAATTTATAGTTTACGAAAAATGGTCAATGCAAAAAGACTAACGTTCTTTTTAAAATTGTCATGGCGTAATCCCAGGAATATAGGTAGGTTGAAATATAGGACAGTGGTCGATTTTAATTTTTTGAAATTAATATTGAGAAGAAAAATACCATTGACAGTCAAAATATCTTATTCGTTATGAGGATAAACTTTTAAGCACATGAACCCAATACCAAAAGTAGAATGCAGCCCACGCAGAGTAGGGCCAATCTGAGTTTTGAATGGCCCGTGTCCAAAAATTAAAATGAGGCCCCTTAATTTTCATTTGTACTTAAGCAAAGTTTGTAGTTTTGTTGTTCCGAATGTACTAGTGTCCAAAACCATAACCGTATGAATCTGCAAGTTCGGTAAAGGAGGATTCAAAATGGAACTGTACTTGGGCACACCACATGCTATGGGAATGATTTAATGGACACTGACAACTCTAAACCCACATAAGTGCACTCCCTTTCCTTTATTTTGTTTTATTTTTTTGTTTTATTTCTTGTTATCTACTGGTGTTGTGATGAATGAGTGTGAGAGTGTGAGTAAAATTCTTTTTCATGTAGACTGTAGGTGCAAAATTAAAGAATGAAAATTAAGATTAATGGCTACCAGCAGCCATTCTTGTTAATTAGTAATTATTCAATCACTAAGTATTTATTTTGGTACTAGCCTTGCATCCATTTAATTCAGTCATACTAAATGAAAAATCACCACGTTCACTTACCATATGTGCGTCAAAAGATAAGACACAAAATGGGGAAATTTACAGAAACAAATACAAATAGTGTCCTTCAAATGACCAATATCATCTAAATCATGTGGAACCACACCAAACACATGTCGTACCTAATACCATTGCAAAAGCAGTCCAAATTGTAAAGGCACAAACAAGACTGACAGCAATGATCCACATCAATACCAATCCACCAAATAAATTCCAGAGGCTAATGAATATCGGAACAAGTTTTCATCTCCCACCAAATAAACTACTAGAGTTTATAACTAATCGAAGCTTAATTATATAGATAGTGCATTAAATAAAGTACTTAAACATTGAGAAGAAATAGCATAAAATTAGACGATTTATCAAATTAGAGTGATTTAATAAATTAGAGTGATTTTTTTAGACGATTTAGATTATTGAAATACAATGCACGATGGGCTCTAAAATGGTGTCTCCCAATTAAACCTCTCTCTCTCTCCTAAAAGAAAATCTCAATTTACATTTGAGAAGTTTGTAAGAAATGTATATTACTTCCCTTCCCTTATCTTGTAAGAAATGCAATCACCACTATAATACACCACCAATGTTTTTAGTAAGGGTGGGAACACTTTTCTACTGTAATTCAAACCGAAACCGAAAATATCAAATTGACTAAATTGCACAGATGCTCCTCGTGCGTCTTGTGGTTTGTACATAGTATATATGTTCAATTTGAGTCCACTGTGCGCACTGCGTGGAAGGATAAAAAGGTCAGTTCAATCCCTTGGCCATAGCTTGTGGTTTGT